ATATCGGCGTCGGCCCAGGGCTTCCATGTGCTTGTCAAGCACGGTATGTCCTCTATGAATTCGTCGTTGCGCATCAGTTGCGCAGTAGCAAAGCGATGGTTTGTGACTTTCCATGGTACCCGCCATGTCTCGCCACCATCTTTACTCACTGCGAGTGTACTATCTGGAGCGATTTGCTGTATCAGCGTACCAGTAGGCACGCTGAAACCAAAATGCGATGAGTAAGCGTATTTTCCGTATTTGGCTTCCGTTGCTTTAAGCGGCCAAGGACAGAATTGGCCCATGGAGAGGAGGAAATGGTGGTTTGGCTGGTTGCAGAGGATATGCATAGCTGGTTTAACTGGCATAACTGCTACATCTGCACTGGGCAAAGGCTTCTCCTCCGCAGTCCAGAACGGGTGGTCTTCCCGCAGTCCTAGCGCTAGGAAAGATTTCATGGCCCAGTAAGGAGACTGCGGGCTGTTGTAGTCTTCGCTCATGTACATGTTTGGATAAGTGAAGCCGATTGTCAACGTGCCGTCGATATTGAACATGTCCTCTTTCTTGCTCCACCAGCGTAAGTGCCGGAGCAAAAGTCCTTTGATCACGCCCCAGTCGTTGAGTGGTTCGGGCAGTTCGACCTCTGCGAAAGCGACGGCGGACCAGAATCCAGCGAACGCGAAACGGTATGTTAGACTGCGGCCGAAGGGTATGGCGGCACCTAAGACGTGTTAGTTAGTGTTGGGTGTCTGCCGTAGGTATTCAACATACCATTGGTGTCAAAGTACCGCCAGAAAGACACTGCAAATTCCTTCGCTCTACCCCGAAACCTTTCGCACCGCTCTGGATCCAGATCCTGTGCCATTTTCGCATAGATAAGCTGCGAGAACTGGATTGCAAAGCTACCTGAATAGTAGTCTGCCTGTCGTCCCTCGTCGCTCCAGATACCATCTGCTGCCCAGCCGTCCCCTCGGTAGAATTGCTCCATGAGATCCAGATCCGCTTTCATCGCATCGAGAACATGCTCTTTGGCTACGCCGCATACTTTGATCAACGCTAAGTTTGTCATGACGCGGAACCAGAGCCAATTTGTCGTGGGGAAATCTTTGCCATTGATCGTCCCCAGCCACTCCGTAATATTCCTCTTCGCTTCTCCAGACTGCGAATGGAACATGGTCTCTGGAGCTGATAGTAGCGCGAACGAGATAATCTCCATTTCCACCATTCGTTGATCGCGTAGTACGACGGGACCCCAGTACTCTTCGTGATGTGGGTTGGTACCATTGGCCAGGCCTATGGCGTAGGGTTTGATAAGCTCTTCGTACTCGTCTTTGGACACAATGTTCGAGTGCATCAGCGCGCCGACTGCCCATAGCGGCCGGGCGTAGCCTTCAAGCTGGGCGGCGACATCGTCGAAATGGGTACCGGTTGATAATGGGAGTTTGATTCGGGCGCCATGGGGTGATTGGTATGGCTTCAGTGCGCGAAGAAGTGCTATTGATGCGGACTTGAAATCGGCGTGCGTCTTGAACGGGTTGTTTGAGAAACCGTTTAGCGGAGGCATGGTGTCCTGAGCGTCATCAAGAGCTTAGACTGCATGAAGATACAGAACCTGAGAGTTCTTTCAGACTGAGGTGTTCTTTTGTGCCTCTACATGCACCGTAGTCTCCTGTGTCCAGTGCTATGGCGTGACCCCCTGTGAGCGGTACCTTACAATGGGTGCAAAAGACAGTTCGTGCCTCTTTACACCCAAGCTTCAATAGGCAGCGCATCCGAAAGCTACATCGATACCGCGTATCGCCATAGGCTCCCGTCCCGTATTGATGGAATCGGGTGGCTTCCGGGGTGGAGTGATGGTGATCAGCCGAAAGGAGGGTTAGACCGCGCGGGGCCCGCGTGTGGAGTAATTATCGATTTATCCCGATGCCCGCCGCTCGCTGCATCCTCCACATTTGCTTCTTCTTGATCAGCGCTTTTGCGATGTCGTGCTGATGTCGGCTGGGTGGACCAATTACTCGGTTGGCAATGGTAGCCAGGCAGGCGAGGACGACGGTCCCGTCTCGGTGGGCGGTGACACGCCCGCGTGCGTTAGCTGCAAGCAACGCAAGCTGCGATGCTCGCGCGAGACACCCTCGTGCTCGCATTGCTTGAGGCTGTGTGAGTTTTTCTGTCAATTGGCGCTATTTCGCGTCGCTATCTTGCGTCGCTAATGTGCCATAGCCTCTGAATGTGTTTATCAGCCAAAGAACAAACCTGGGCTTAAGCCCGGAGCTGTTGAGGCGTTGACCCGCCGCGTCGGTATGTGGTACTCCTTCTACGATGAACTCAATCTTACACTCCGTAGCCTTTCTTGAGAGGATACTGCTGGATGATGCGGGAAACATCCGGCCACGGTACAGAGACGATGAATCCACTGCGAATGGCCATGCCGTCGCGCATGAAAGCCCCAGTGCTGCAAAAGAACGCGCGCCTCGTGTTGAGGAACACGCGCCGTATGTCGCGCCTACTCCCGATTATAACCACAACCACCAAACCGCAGAAGATGGCTCCAGAGCTTCCGAAGAAGAGAACGGCGTGTCCAATCCGCTGAAAAGAAGATTCGAGATGCCGATTGCTGAGAGTTGGCTTTTCCCCTTCGAAGATGTTGATATCGCGCAGCACTTACCATCTCAACCATTGCTCGAGAAGGTCGCAGACTTTTTCTGCGTCTCGTTTCATCATTGGATCCCATATATCCATAAAGCGAGACTCCAAACGCGAGTGCGCCAAGGGTGTCAAGACCCAGGCCATGTGTTGGTCCTCCATGCTCTGGTCGCCGTTGCTCTGCGACACATGGACCCCAACGTACTATACCTGGATAACGATCAGATCCTTCAGCAGACGAGGGTCTCCCGGATGATTGTGGAAACGCATGCGATGCGCAATGTCACCATCGAAAGCTTGCAGGCCCTCATCTTCCTAGTCTTTGATCTTCTTAATGACGGTCAAACACAAAGAGCGTGGCCGCTGATCGGGTCGCTCACGAGGACTATAGACTACCTCCAACTTACTACTGAGCCATCGACGTCGCAGTCGGGATCACTTATGACGCCTGTGCGGTTGGTGAAGCCCTCAAACGACTGGACGGAGTTGGAAGAGCGACGAAGACTGTTCTGGATCATCTTCCTGCTCGATCGATATTGTTCGGTGTCTACAGGATGGAACACCAGTCTCACAGCAGATGACGTGCACCGTCGGTTACCGGCAGACGGCGGTTTCTTCACCAGAGAAGAGCCGGTAACCACACCCTACTTCGGCATCTGGAACAAGGCCGCTGCCCGCATCGGGCGATCATTAGCAAATGTACCCGCACAATACAACGAAGAAGACCCAGGCGTCGACCACTTTCCCCCAGGAGCCAGCCCAAATTCCGCCAACGGCTACATTGATGCTTCAAAGCTAGGCGCATTCGCATACTGTGTCGAAGCAACCGAGAGTTTGAGTCAAGTGACGACCTTCTTCCTCCAACAAAGGATCAACTGGCAAGACAAGGAGCATGCAGTCAGTTGGCTGACACGCTTCAAGGAGCTAGACTTGAGACTTGTGCAGTGGAAGATTTTCCTACCTCCTAGATGGAAGGACTCCAACATATCATCAGACAGGACTGTGGTCGACATGGATCCTAACCTGACTCTAGCCCACATCACACATAATACCTCGATGATATTACTGCATCACCCAATCGGATACCCACCCCGCGGATGGAACGACTTCGTCGCATTACCAAAAGAATGCAGTGCCCAGACCTGCGAGCTCGCCGCCGTAGAAACTTCGAACATCGTCGACAAGTTCCTTACCCACACGCCCATACCATTCGTCAACGTCCAATTCTCATTCTGTGCCTTCATCGCCGCCAAAGCACTACTCTTCGAACACCAAGCCACCCGCAAACCTCTACGATCAGAATTCCACCGCCTAATCCACAACCTCGAGGAAATGGCCGCAAGATGGAAAGGAAAGAATGCAGACGACGCGAAACCCAATAACCAAGCAGCTATATACGCAAACCACCTCAAAGGACTCCTCGAAGCCTGTCAAAACGACGCAAATTTCCGCTTCGACTTTTACGACCACAACGGCCTGACGCTCGACCCACAAAACTACGCCAGTCCAACTTACGCCGCAACACCACAAGCGCGTTCCAGAAGCCTTGCGCATGAACGTTCTCTAATGAGGAACCACGGACGTACCAACAGCTTCACCAGTTCACACTCAACCCTCAGCCCGCGCCGCATCCCGCCTCCAGACATAACCCGGAACACAACCATGCCCTCACCCAGCAACTACGAGCAACACCATGCGCGCCTCCCAAGCGCACACGCGATATCACCATCTGGGCAACCGCCACCTCCTATATACGCGTCCCCGCAAGTATCAGCTACCTACCCGAGCCATACCCCATTACAGCAGTATCAACAGCCCGGAAACGGAGTCCCGGTATCTGGTCCATCGCTCGCTCCGTACGGTAATGCTGGTGCAACCGGGAACCAACATAGCACTCAAGACCAGTCTCTGCTTAATCTGTCCGATGCGTTTATGGATAGTCATTTTCTGGATATGGATCGCGTTATCACGTTTGAGGATGCGAATTTCTTTATTCCGGGGGATGCGTTTCGGTGGCAGTGAGTTGGGATGGGTAAGGTAGGGACGGTGATTGTGAGAGATGTGGTGTAGTCTGATAGGGACGTCCATCTCTACCAACATACCTATTCGGCTATGACCAGCTGTTGGATCGTTGGATACCACGATGTTTCAAGCTATCCCAACTGGTCATAGCCGAATAGGTACGTTGGTAGAGGTAGACGTGCAAAGTCAGGGGATGAGTATAATAGATGCTAAGCTTGTAATAGTTGAAGCAAGTGCTATTTCGACATGATTTTTGCATGGATGACTATAAGAAACGCAATCAGGAAGAATGAGTATATCGTCTTTTCCAGCCTGTCGAAACCCTCCTTTACACTCGTTATTCCAGCGACGCCACTCTAGGCTCGCACTGAAGCTCCTGTATGAGCGCACGCAACACAAACCGCGCCTCCAGATCCAGGTCCCTCCGGGGGTCCATCGCCCCCACCGTCCTCATCACCACCATCTTCATCTTCATCTTCATCCTCAAACTCAGACTCGTCATCCTCATCTTCGCTCAGAACAGACCCAGACCCCGAGTAGTACCCTTCCATTTCATCCAACGGCTCTAGCTCGGGCATTGAATCAGACTCATCCTCAGCGTCATCCTGGTCCGGCAATTCCACATCCGGGCCCGCCTGCTGCAGAGCCTCGAACGTACGCTGCAGCACTGTCTGCTCCAACATCATTTGTGCACGCAGGTTTCCTACGTGTGTGAGTGTAATGCGATCCATCATCTCTGTGTATCGAGCATGCGTCGCCTGCATGCCCTCTCCGGATCGAGCTCTCGCTGCCTCCAACCCCACGTCGGTTCGAGCCTGCATGCCTCGAGCAAACCAGTCGAACCATCTTCCGGTTGGTACAGTCTGTGGTGGGAAAAACTCGGCGCGACAGAATGGACAGCTGGTTCCTCTAGTGAGCCAGGCTTCTAGACAGCTGCGGCCGAATATGTTGTTGCAGCAGGTGACCTTGACAGGGGAGTGATCTTCGTTTGGTTCAACGGGTGCGCTGTTGGCGGCGGTGGTGTCGTGGTCATCGGTGGAGCTATTTGGGATGGGGTCGTCGTTTTGAACGCCGTCGACTGTGGGACCCGTGGATATGGCTTCCGGCTCGTGAGGCTGGAGGTCTTCACGACAGATAGGACAAGAGGGGTCGGAGGGCGGCATGGGACATGCCTTCATGTCCGAAGCGACGAAGGCTGCTTTGGAGTCGTAGAGAGGCATTGTTGGTCGTGGTGCAGATCTGGTTGAATGCGAATGGCGGTAGAGCTAAATGGTGTGGTGGTTCTTGTCGTGAACGGTGGAGGTGCGTCGTACATATACAATCAGGGGATGTTGTATAGTCCCAGAGGGCCCACTAGTCGGTGAAAAACTGCTGCCATTGCTTCTGCTATGGCTTTCGACAGCTTTCACAAGGCAGCCAGCGCCGAGTCCCGTAGGAATACCTTACTTTCACTGCTGCAATTGCTTCCGCTATGACTATCCATAGCTTTCACAAGGCAGCCAGCACCGAGTCTCGTGGAAATCCCCTGCTTTCACTGCCCAAAACTGTTTCACCCCTGGAACCGCTGTAGGCCGAACTTTGTGTAAGAATCTCGTCGAGGCGTTGTGTCGAAGCTCGTCTCGTCTGGAATCCGAAGGATGATGCGAGCACCCGAGTACGTCCTCCCCTCAAGACCACTTCGCAATATTATTGGGAATAAGCTTCTTAAACATATCCAGCTGTTTCGCATGCACCGCCATTTTCTGTTCCAGGATTTCCGGTCTTAATTGAAGCGTCCGATCCACCCTTTGTTGGTTCCCACTATATACAACCGTATAATCTGGTAAGCGGGTATAAGGCGGTATAACCGAAGAAGCCGATATAGTGCAATACTAGAATATGTCAGTCCAAACAACGCTCAAACTCAACCAGAGCTCTACTTACCCTCCCAATAATACTGCCCCTCCCCAGCACAGCACCAACCTCAACCACACTCCCCTCACCCACCTCCGCCGCCTCAACCACAGCCCCAGAATCAACAACCACATTCCTACCCAACACCGTCCCCTCACTGCGCATAGATTCCCTCACACTCCCACTCCCCCTTGCAGGAGGTGCCATACTGCCCCTCTTCCCCTCCGCATCACCCTCAGCGCCCATACCAACACCCACTTTCGCGCGTTCAAAAACCACACAGCCCTCGCCGAGGACAACAGGTGCAACTGCGCTGCTGAGTTTGCTATGAGGGTGTAGAACGGTATTAGGGCCGATTGTAACGGGGTGCGTGCCGGTGATTTGCGCGTGCTGCGCGATGAGGACGGTGGTGTCGAGGAAGATGGAGGAGGGTTTTGGGAGGATGGATTGCCGTTTTGGGGCGCCGGAGGTGCGGCGGTGGTCGTTTGAAGGGCGGGGAGGAGCGGGTTGGGAGGACATAGTGGTGGGTGGTGTGGGAGTTGTTTGTGGAGTTCGTGAGTGTTGATGGTAGGGAAGGGTGGATGACGGACGCGCTGAGGATCTACTTAGCGTGTCGCCAAGTCACATGACGTGTGCGTCTAAATGGGTAGGTACTGTTCGCCAATGTCGTACCTACCTTGTCTTCGGCACAACACAAGATCAAAGAGCGAACCTCTCTGAGAAAAAAGCATGCTGCGGCTATATTGGGTGCTGTAGTTCAACGTAAAGTACAATATCCCAAGAGATAGATCGAAGGGGGTATCTCATAACCATGCATTACTACATACATCATGCCAACATCGCGTAAACCTTACATGAATCTGCGCAATGCCCATCAACAGCGACATCGAACAACATATCAACGATACCGCTGATAAAGCCCGCGCCTTGCCCACCAACCACATTCATAAGCACATCAACAACATACTAAACCACAACCCTCCTCTCCTCCTCCTTACCCTCCCCACCACTTGGACCCCGCTCCAACTCCGGACTACTCACCTTCTCGGGACTAGCCACTTTGATCGGACTCCTCCTACCCACCTCCTGGCCCTCGACTTCAATGCGACCTAGTATGCTCTCCTCGTCCTCTCCCATACCTTCGATGCTGTGCAGACTGTCGTCGTCGGAAGAGTCTTCGATGCCTTCAAACATACGTGCGAAGCGCTGGTGTCCTTCGCGTTCTTCTTGTTCTTGAGTTTTCGGGGCGGAAGGGTCGTCTGGGTCTTCTTCTGCTTCGCGCGTTGATTCGAGCTGCGCTTTGCGTTGGGCGAGGCGGAGGGCGAATTGGCGGCGGGCGCGCGATGGGGGGATCTGGAGGGGCGGTGGGATACTGGGCTGGAAGAGGGTGTTAGTGGAGCTGGTCAATGGAAAGATACGATGACTCGTTAGGGCGGAGATGGAACGCAAGCAATTCGGAATTTACAGAGAAAGGGTGAACAAAGGGGAGACAAGCAGATGGAAACGAGGAAGAAAGAGGACACCATACCAGATCAATGAAGCCCAATCATCCAGTGGTACATCACACAAAGGAGATGAGAGGAAACCACATCTCACGATGCGTATTACTACATGTATCATACACCCTGTCGGATGGCGCAAGGAATGTATGTACAGAAAGGATGATGATAGGCCCATAGATCTAGCATGCGAGCCGTCTGTCCGTTCCCGCTCATGATACAAACAAGTATAAGAAAAGGAAACGCACCAAGGGCGGGAAACATTCGTGGTATAGTGTGTATGCTCGGGGCCATGGACTTATCGATAGTCCATATCAGCATCGTCAAATGAGATTTCACCCACTTGTTCGGAGTCGTCGACAGGTCCCTGTCGTTGTTCCCGCTCTCTCTCGGTGTCGACATCGTCCATGTCTTCGTCTTCTTCATCACTCGAGTTAGTAAAGCCACTAAGCAAGGAGCCTCCGCTGAAGGTGTACCCACCACCCTCAGTGTCACCAGCATTGGTGAGCTCCATGCTGTCGAGGCCTATGTTGCCGTTGTTGGCGAGGCTTGCATTAGAGAGCCCGCCACTGTCGCCTCCAAAGTTGTTGTTTGCTGCGTTAACGGCGTTGAGCACAGCTTGTCTGGGCCCGACGCTCATGTCGGGTCGTACACCTCCGAGAATGGCGTTGTCGCGCTCTCGCGTCTCGGCCAGGATATGCTCCACATAATACACCCACTCTTGAGCGTGGACCTTCTCTAGGACCATCTGCGACAAGACTTCATCGGTGTGTCGCTCTGTAAACTTCAACACCTCTTCTGCGATCAGGGTGAGGTGACCCATGTATCCTAGTCGCATGGACGTTTCTTGGTGCGATTTATCACTCTCCTGCTGTCCTTTGATAATGCGCTCGGTAATGCCTCCGTTGTCAAAGAGGTCAATCGCTAGCTGACGGTTGTATCCACGGTCCATCTGCCCGTTGAAGACTTGCTGAACAACATCGTATACTACATTGTGTAGAAAGTTGTTCCATGGGAAGCGGAAGAAGAAGTCCTGCAGATATTAGCATGTTTCGCTGGAAGATATCAAAGGTGCTTACAAGTATCGTTGGTACTACTTTGTTCTCAACGAATGTGATCTTCAGCAAGTCGCCAACAACAGGCGTACCGTCAATGTCAATCTCGAAGCCGGCAGGATCTTCTGCACTGCCGAATACCACCGAACGCACGCTCTGAGACTCATCAATAGGAGTTATCTCCGAAAGATCTGATCCTGCTACTGGTGCGGTGAAGCGCGAGGTGTCGATGCTGGCTGGTTCGGCTTCACTTTTGCGGTTCTTACCCGCAAACAGTGGCGCTGGTTTGTCGTCTGGATGAGGTGAAAGACTCTCGGATTGTTCAGCAGTGGTGGTATCCGAGGTCTGATTGAGCTGCTGTGTCAGAAGAGATGGCGGGGTCTTGACATCGGTATCCGACTTCTCGGTCTTCGCAGGCTCTGTCGGTTCCTGGCGGTCGTTCATAACGGTGTCAGTATCCAGTTCAAGCTCATCGACCTTGGCACTCAGGCCGGCTGACGTAGGTGATTCGGCATCATCCGCAGGCTTAGGTGGAGATGCAGGCTTCTCAGCAGGTGCTGCAGCGTCTTTGGGTGGTGTCAAGGGCTCGTCCACAAACTCACCGTCATCGCCTGCCGTCTTGGCAGTGGACGGTTCCTGTGGCGCATCTCTCGGTGGCAGCTTCGGCGAGGGCTCCAATGGCTCTCCAATCTGCTCCTTCTCCGTTGCCGTTTCTTTGGCCTCCTCGACAGCAACTTCCGGCGCGACAACCTTTTCAAAGTCGTCTTCCGAACTGTTCTGTACATGCAGAGGTTTTATCTCCGCAGGAGAGTCCATAGATGGGGCGCGCGCGTGGTGGAAGCCTTGGCTATCAACACTGGTGGAGAAATCGCCTGGGTTGCCGGAAATCGCTGAAGTCAATTTGCCGTCAGCCTTGAGACGTTCCCGCTCGGCATCTCGCCTCCTGACTTCAGCTTCGCTGCCCCGTTCGTTGAGCAGAGCCATGTTACTGCAGTGCAGCAACTCGGCCATCAGCTCACAAGTCTTGAACCGATCAAATCCAAGCGGTTCGATCTTCTCGCCAAAGGCTGTCTTGAGCTCTCGCTTTTTCTTTGTAGTGCTGCCATCGCGCTGTGTCACGATCTGGCTTGAGCTATTAACCAGCTCCATGAACTGCGGGATGTGGTTGGCGAATTGGCGAAGCAGTGTTCCCAGGTAGATGGGGTCTGAGTTCTTGGGTACCGGCCCAATCTGATTCTCCAAATCATAGTCGGAGTTGTTCTTTCTGATAACCTCGATGATGATACCCACGCCGACAGTCAGCGGGTTGCCGCCTTGCAGCATAAAATCGATCAGCTGTTTCAGACATTGTTCGGAGACAAGCTGGCGCGTAAGCTCGTTAGGCCCGATGACGGACTGGTCTTGCGTGGTAGCGTTTGCGGATATCGTGATGATAGCCTTGAGGAAGTCGCCAGCTGACGTTTGTGTGGAAGTCGACTGATCGGGGGCGAGGAATGATATCAGGCGGGGAACGAGGTTCTGTTGTTGCAGCCACTGGAGTCTGTTAGTTATGCCAACAAGCGTGTATGTGGCGACTTACGTCAACAATGCCCTGTCCGCCCTCGCTCTTCTCTAGGCTGATGATCTTCAACAGCAGGTCCATGATGACCGGGCAGTCGACGTGCTGCAACATGTCTGTTACAACATTGTCCAATGACTTGAAGAAGTCGAGCATCTCCTCCATCTTGCGGTCGAGCAGCGACTCGTTGACCTTGGTGAAGTAGCCAGCCTGGA